CCCCTGAGAGTCTGAAAGAAAAGCGCGTCCCTATTCTCTAGGGTGAATAGGTAGGTGAGTTCTGCAGCCAGGCTAAGAGAGCCCCACTATGTTGGCTGCAAAGACTGGAGGGCACCACTCCTTCCTGAACTCCTGTAGCAGGTGACTAGGCACTTTAGGAGCTGTCAGCAGTCCTCAAGACCCTGCTACAGATCGATAAAAGTGCCTACTTGAGGGGCAGGGCTGTTTGGAGGATCACAGATCTGCCCATTCACAGCTGAAGCAGTTGAAGTTAAGCTTCAGCTGTTTGCCCTGTTGTACTGTGGTAGTGAGGGCCAATGCCGTTGAGATGGGTCCCCACAAGTCTACACAGGGGTGTATGGTGCTCAGAGTCTGCGGACCCCTGATTTCTACGACCAGCAAAGGAGTTGTGCCGACCCTGTGCTCCTGGCCTAGGGGAGCCAGCAGCTTATTTGTTCCCTCTCCAAGGCCAGGAGAATGGGTCAGGGCGCCTTTTGGGATCTATTTCCGGCCCAGGAGACTCCTGGTGCAGAGTGGGGATGGAGGCGGTAAAAGGAAGAGAGGTTTTTCCCAAATCTGGTGCAGAGTGCAGAGGTAGGAGGTAAAAGGGAGAGGTTTTTCCTAAATGGGCTTTTTTTTTTTTTAACTTGCCGCGAAAGGGTGCGTGTATGTACTTATCCTAGCCTCTTGGGAGCTGCTCTTCACTGGTTCGGAATGTCCAAGCAGAATCTCTGCTGCTGGGTCTCTCTCGATGTGGAAACTGCTTCTCAAGCGCATGCACAGCACAGCTGTTTGCCTGCTTCACTGCGGGCCCGGTGTGGCTGTGTCTCTGCTGTGTTGCCGCCGTGGCTCTAGCGCTCCTCACCTCTTCCAAATGGTCTTCCTCTCCGGTATGACTCAGATGGGTTTCTTAACCTTGCCTTGTTCAGGGCTGCCAGATGTTCACATAGAATCAAATCACTTGTTTTTCCAGGTCTTTGTTGTAAGAGGGATATAGGAAGCGTCTAACTAGTCCGCCATGTTGACCACGCCTCTTCCAATTCTGGTTGTTGGAAATATATTTTAACTCAAATAATACAGGACATTAATAAAACACTGGTCTTCTTTAGACCTCATTTCAGAGCTAGGAAGAACCCAGAGCAGTGAGTATAATTAAAACTAAGACAACGTATCCTTTCAATGAACAAAATTTGCACCACAAAGCCAGTGTTTTCCCTCAAAGTAGGCAATGCAGAAGGCTATACGTGACTCTGGCGAAACTGTCATTGCTCAGAATATTTTTGGAAGCTTCCTCTTGTACCGTGATTCAGACACCACCCCACCCCTATCTGTAGGGGCATGAGTGTGCACACACACTCACACAACTGTCTCGATTGTTGACAGCCCCACTTGACTTTGAATTCAAAACTGTATTGTCTGGTTTGAGAACCGAATTTTTCATCTAGCTAGAACCATGTAACTTCTAAAGTGGGTGGCAAAGGCCATCCTTGTCCCCCCCCCAACTTTCCCCCCTTTTCTTCACAGAAATGGAATCTTGATTTTTTACATGTTTACACAGCTGACTGTAAGACTATCTTCTCTCCTGCCCTGGGCAGTGCTGACCAATGGGATACGAGTAAAAGTGTCACATGACAGTCTCTGGGTACCTTCCTTAAAATTCTGGTAGTGCACCATGAGCCCCTCCTTCACCTGCTGCCTGGAGTACAGAGGTGACACTGTGCTAAAGCCACCTCTTGCACCACGTCAATGAGCACCGACCCCCAGGGACAGCAGAGCAGAAGGGCGGAAGGAGCTCGGATCCCTGAAGGCTGCATGGAGCCAGGCCAGGAGACCAGGCCGGGACTTCTCACCTTTGGCCTTTCACATGAGAGCAAATAAAGCTCTACACCGTTTAAGCCACTGTTACCTAGGCTCTCTGTTAGTGGTTGACAAAACTAATTGTAACTTTTACAAAGAATATTTGAAAAGTAAAATCCACTCTCCATACACAAAGATTTCTTACACTGAGAATACTCAGAAAAACATGCCATTAAAAAAATGATAATAAAAGAAAAAAACGTTCCATGGACTTTGGGGCTTCTCTAAAACAGACGTTCCAAAAGATCTCCTGATCACAGTACTCTCTGAATAAGCATAGAGCTTCCCAAGGGGACTACTGAGAAGACAGTGCTCACTTGGGTGATAAATTTAGGTATTTCTTTAAATACCTAACCCCTTACTTTATTGTCAAATAGCCATGGAAAGTCAACTTCCATGTGGGATAAGGATTTAAGCACAGTTGTACTGTGCCATACTGTACATAGCAATCTATACATACCTTTAAGAAGAATTCAAACACACACACACACACACACACACACACACACACGCCAGAAGGCAGCTAGAAAATACCTGTTTATGATAAAAGAAGAAAAGCAAAGCCTAAAACAAAAGCATGCTGAGACTTACGTGGTTAGCTTTATAGTAGTAAGAGAGGGCAGGAAATCGCCGTCTACTCCGGAATTTGGAACTCCCCACGATGATGTGTGCCGTGGCCGATTTGGGAACATACAGTTCCGAGGGGTATGAGTCACAGACCTGTCACAGAAGATACAAGGGAATTTTAAGGCAATCTAGTGACACTTTGAGATCTGCCGCCAGAAATACCACTTGCCATACATATAGGTTGCATGTTGAAGTTTTCTTAACCAAGTTACGGAGAAGGCCATTTCTGGAAACCAGAGAAATGAAGCGTTGCTGATTATATGAAATCACACTGAAGGAAAGCAAGACACCTTTAGTCTTCTGCACTGTCCTTTCTCTCCAAGGGCCGGTCATGGAGGATAGAGACAGTAACAATGACGCATTTCTTCCATCAAAAAGGGACAAACTGCACTTCTTCTGGCAGCTAAGAAAACTTCAGCTGCCTGAGGTTGACTGAAAGAGAGAAATTTTTCCTAAAATATAAACACCAGTAGTTAACTTCTTGGAAACCCTGGTGGTGCAGTGGTTAAGAGTTATGACTGCTAACCAAAAGGTCGGCAGTTGGAATCCACCAGGCTCTCCTTGGAAACCCTATGGGGCAGTTCTACTCTATCCTATAGGGTCCCTATGAGTCGGAATCAATTCGACAGTAACGGGTTTGGTTTTTTGGTTTAGTTAATTCTTGGGTCACCTTCCTGTCCGGGGCACATGCTGTGTGCATTCCTGCCTCAGAGCCTTAGCCAAGCCCATGCCCTCACTAGATACTCCTCCGTCTGTCTTTCCAAATCTCATCCATTCTTGAAGGCCAACTCCAAGTTTGATGTCCTCTGAACTCCCAGCCCGTGCAGTTTGCTAGACCTGATTTCCCAATCTGCTATACATTACCACACAAGTTCATAGCTTTGTATTTGTTTCCTACGTGTTGCTTTTATAAGTGGCAAGACACCATTTATCTTTCTACATATCCCTGGCTTTGATTGCCACAGTGGAAACTCTGGTGCCCTGGGATGATCGTGTCATTTGGAGCCAGAAATCAGGGGTTTAGAACCTGGCTCTGATAGACCAACTTTATTACCCTGAGGAAGCTGAACTTCTCTGAGTGCTTGGGTTTTCTAATCTCTAAAACTGATAGCGTTGTTGCTGTTAGATGCCATCCAGTCAGGTCCGCGCCATCCTCAATATAGTAGGTATGTTTGCAATCACTGCGTCCATCCATCGCATTGACGGTCTTCCTCTTCTTCACCAACCATCTACTTTACCAAGCATGATGTCCTTCTCCAGGGCTTAGTCCCTCCTGATAACATGAGTCTCACCATCCTTGCTTCCAAGGAGCGCTCTGGCTGTACTGCTTCTCAGACAGACTTGTTTGTTTTTCCGGCTGTCCGTGGTATATTCAGTATCCTTCACCAACACCGTAATTCAAAGGCAACAATTCTTCTTTGGTCTCTCTTTCACACGCATATGAAGTGATCGAAACTACCATGGTGTGGGTCAGGCGCAGCTTAGTCTTCAAAGTGACATCTTTGCTTTTTAATGCTTTAAAGAAGTCTTTTGCAGCACATTTGCCCAGTGCAATACATCATTTGATTTCTTGACTGCTGCTTCCATGGGCGTTGATTATGCTCAACCTACACAACACTGAGGCTCCAACTAGGTCTGCTGAGCTTCACGCATTTCCAAAGGGACCCGCCTTGAAGCTAAATGCCTTAGAAGCTGAATAACGCCTTACCTCTGAGGTCCAGAGGCATAAAAAGTGGCTGGTATACCATTAATCCAATAGTAGCAAAAGGGTAATGAGTCTCCCTCCAATCCTGACGCCACATTCTTCTTCATATAGTCCAGTTTCTCAGATTATCTGCTCAGATTACAGACTGAACAAGTATGGTGAAATAATACAGCCCTGGCGCACACCTTTTTCAATTTTAAACCATGCCAGTATCCCCTGGTTCTGTTGGAATGACTACCTCTTGATGTGTTCTGGAATTCCCAGTCTTTGAAATGTTATCCATAATTTGTTATGATTCATGCAGCTGAATGCCTTTGCTTAGTCAGTAAAACATATGTAAACATCTTTCTGGTATTCTCTGCTTTTCAAAAATCAAAAAAACTGATATGACAGCAATAATACCTCATAGAGTTGATATAAGGATCAAATCAGATAATACTCATGACAAAGAACTATATAAACCATGAGGTCTGACAGAAACGTTAGCACTAACAACAGCAGTAGTAGTTGATGCTGTTGGTGCTTAACACATATTTGGTTTTGACATCAGCCAATCAATGTTTTCTCAATGAGATCATTTAGATGGCAGTTTCCCAGGCTTCGGGCAAGTAACTGTTCATCTCCAGGAGGTTAAGCATCTTCCTAGTCATATCAAGCAAGTCTTTATGTATCTGTAGCAATAGTGGAAACGCTTTGCATGTCGTGTGTCCACCTCAGCCCACCACTGTGGAAGATGGGATTGAAGGGAATGAATGAAAAACCACCACAAGAAAGACCCAAGCCTTCAAAGCTCATCCAGATTGTTCTGGGGTTGCCTGCCTCCACTGTCTTTGTTACAAGAAAGGGTCATAAAAGTGATGTTTCCACATCCAAAGTATAATTTTAGGATTTCACCAAAGACAGCTCGGGGAAGGTTACCGAAGAGGATTACCTGGCCTCTGGCATTGACACTGGAGAAAAATCCCGTCCCAAGACCAGATGGCCCAACCTACTTGGACCCAGACAGCTTTTACTGGGATTAGTGCCACAGGACACTACACTTCCTTCCCCATGCAAATCTGGAGTCTGAAACTCCCTAAGTGAGCCATCTGGGGCATTTCCACACAGACCACACCTGCTTGGCTGAGATTTGAGAGACGTGCAGTCATTACACCAGACTTACAACATTTTCTTAAAATAACTTGTTTAAAAAGGGAATAAGTAGGCTTTCCGCAAGGTGGGGATTCCCTGCTTTCTTAAAACAATGAACACTAAGGAATGGCAAAATTATTTACAATTAAATCAAATAAGAATAAATAAAGAATAGGTGAGATTTCTCAACGTGCTTATCACATACAGCACCTTGAAAGGCAAGGACGTGAGCTATGAACTCTAAAGCTCCTGCCAGGCTCTCTCAAGGCCAAAGGATGCCCAGCTTGGCCAGGTCGTGGCCCTTACGTGTGCCATATCTAGTAGGGGACCAAAGGAGAAGACAAACACCGAGAGCCCACTCTTTTTAGTACTCTGCCCCCACCTACTCAGGGACCTGATTGCCGTCTACCCACTCACGGCCCTCTTCCTTCCTACGGAGAACAGGAAGACAGCCTCTGGGAGTACCAGGGCCCCCACTCCCCACAAAGTAGGGAAAGGGAGACCTTCATGGCTTGGCATGAGCAAGGAGCAAGAGTCCAACCAGGCGAGCCAAGTCCACAGTGTCAGGCTTACACAGCCTGCCAAGGCCTCCCGCCTAGGGACACAACACTAACCATCAGACTCTTGCTCACCCAGGGGACTGGGTTTAGGAGAAGAGACTGCACGGATCAGACGGTAAGTATGGGGCGTTCTGACAAGCACTTGTGTGCGGAGCTCTAAAAACACCAAAACCAAACCCGCTGCCGTTGAGTTGATTCCGACCCATAGTGACCCTATACGTCAGAGTAGAACTGCCCCGTAGGGTTTCCAAGGAGCAGCTGGTGGATTCGAACTGTTGACCTTTTTGTTAGCAACCATAGCTCTTAATCACTGCTCCACCAGGGTTCTGTGTGGAGCTCGAAAAGAAGTCAAAACCTCTTTGGAAAAAATTAGACTCACGGTGCCAGTTAACTCAGGTTTCCAAATACAAATGGAAAAACCTAAATCCATCCTGGCTTCTTCAAAAGTAGACAGCACTTTCAAGTGGAAATTAAAATAACAATCCTGGATAGCATGGGCCACTGTCACTTTTACAATAAGTACACACAGTTGCAGTCAAAATTCTAACAATGACCAGCGCGTGGCACAGTGCAATTTAGGCCACCAAAGTACGAAACTCTTCAGTAAACCCCCAAATTTTGCCTGGTTTAGAAAATCCCATAAGAAAATTCAGAAAGAATAAAAGAAGTTCAAAGTGGAAACTGCTTTTCTTCTGATTTTTTTTTTTTTACATTGAATCTGCCTTAGTCAATGAAAGTGGATTAGCAAGTTAATTATTTATGCATAATTTTTTTTAATAAGAAAACAGATGCTCTTTGTCCTCTTCTAAATAAATTAGCCTGTCTGGAATGATGCATGTCTTGGTGTGGCCTTGCCCAGGAAACTCTTGCTGGTAATTCATTCACTCATTCCACAAGCTTTTACTGAACAACTACTGTGTGCCAGGCATCACAATGGTAGGCGTTACAACAGAAATTAATAACACAGAGTTGTCAGCCTTGAGGACTTCACATTCCCAGGGAAACTGATCTTTGTTATCCTGGTTATAACCTTTCCGTAAATGCATCTATCGCTGTAAGGCACAGAATCAGCTTTTTGGAAAAAGAAAACCATTGGAATTTTTATTGGAATTGCGTTGCGTTTACTGATCATTTGGGGGTAGAATGGACACTTTATCATGGCACTGAATCTCCCTTGTACTTACACTTGAATTTATAAACTGTCGCCTTAGGCTGTAAGCGGACATTTGGGACCTCTTTGGCTCCCTTATTGTAAAGTATCTGGTTGATGTAATCAGAGTACTTTGTTCTCATGCTAAAGCCAACCTTTGCAGTGAATTTTTAGCCTTGAAATGAAAGGAAGAAAAATTCAAGTTTAGTAAAAAAAAATTGGATGTCTTTTAACATGACACATCCTTGAGTGAGGAAGAAAATGAGGCTGAGCCACATCTTGTGGAATAATATTTTTTTTTGAAACATAGGTTCTTAGTATTCTTGACAAAGTTTCCTTCTAGAGTTGGCACCACAAGTGTGATTCATACTCAGTCCATCGCACAGACTGCAAAACACGAGTTACTCAGCCCTTCTTTTCAGAAGTGACACACAGCAAAACAAAACTCACAACCAACAAATTGTGTTGAAACCAAAAAAGGTAAAATCCTGGGGAATTTTCTGATTTAATAAATTTACCGAAGTAGGAGGAAAGACAACTTACCCTTATTTGTTACCAACTTAGAAATATAATAAAATTTTTGTTCTTTTGGAAAATTTCTGACTTTTAGTCGTTTGAGGGAGTTAGGTCATCAGCCATTCCTTTGTTTTTAACCTCAGGTTGAGAAAACTTATTTTTTTTTCCTTCTTTCTCTCACAAGAGTTATTTCATTTCTTTCTTTCCACAAATCCTGTGAGGGAAGTCGGGCAAGGTGTCATCCAGTGGAAAGGAAGCTGTTATTCCACATGGTGGGAGCGATGGCAGGCAGAAAGTCCAAAAACCTACATTCCAGGACCAATTCTGCCATTTCCTATTCATGGGGTCTTGGGTATATTATTGCTATCATCATCTCTGTCATCATTATTATTATCCCTCTTTATAAAATGCTTGCTAAAGGTAATCTAACTCTCCGAACTAAGATTTCCTTTTGTACCCAACCCTTGAAATTGTCCTTATTTAAATAAAATAATTGGCATTCATTACTATCTTAAAATTTTAATTTGTTTCTCTTGGAATAAAATTGAAAGTATAATCCAAACCAATAATTCTTTTTTTTTTAGCTTCTTTCTTCCATTTTTTTTTTTTTTTTTTTTTTTGCTTTTTTTTTTTTTTTTTTCCTTCTTTTTTTGTTCTCATACTGTTCTTTTTCCCCTTATTCCATTATGAATTTCTTGATATGAATTTAGGACTTCAGTGTTTAAGGATAAAGTTGTCTTTCTCTGTAGATCTATCTCAGCTTCTGAAAACTGACTCTTACCCCAAACTGCTCAACTGAATAATTAACCAAAAAAAAAAAAAAGTTGCCGTTGAATTGATTCTAACTCATGGCGGCCCCAGATGTTTCAGAGTAGAACTGCGCTCCATAGGGTTTTCAGGAGCCCTGGTGGCTTAATGGTTAAGAGCTCAGGCTGCTACCCAAAAGGTCGGCAGTTCGAATCCACCACGCGCTCCTTGGAAACCAACCCTATGGGGCAGTTCTACTCTGTCCTATAGGGTTGCTATGAGTTGGAATCGACTTGATGGCAACGGGTTTGGGTTTTTTTGCTTTTTTTAATCTTACAGAAGTAGATAGCCAGACCTTTCCTCCGCAGCACCACTAGGTCGATCTGAACTGCTAACCTTGCAGTTAGCAGCCGAGCACAGACCATTTGAACCACCAGGGACCAGTTGAGTCACTGGTCCTCAGTAACCGCAGAGGTTTGATGTGCAGGCTGAGTGCCTTCCAACCGGAGAGGCTCATCTTCTGTCTGGCACTATATCAGACAAAGTTCCGCTGCTATCCGTAAGGTTTTCACTGGCCAGTATGTTCAGAAGTAGACTGCCAGGTCCTTCTTCCTAATCTGTCTTAGTCTGGAAAGCTCCGCTGAAACCTGTCCACCAAAGGGGATCCTGCTGGTATTTGAAACACCAGTGGCAAAGCTTCCGTATCACAGCAACACGCAAGTCACCCCAGTATGACAGACTGACAGATGCACGGTGGTGGCAAAATCCAGTAAAGCTAAAATCCACATATCCTCTAACTCAGAAATTCCGCCCCTAGGTAGAAACTCACAATATAGAACATACAATGAAACAATAAAAGCTAGTTAATAGCTTCATTTCTAACAGTAAGACCAAAAAAAAAGGAAAAAGGAAAGAAAATAATTTTTTTCAATCCATGGTATATTTGTAAGCTAGAAAACAATAGTAAACAATGAATGAACTAGAGCTACAGATATCAACTGTAACCTCTCCGTGCCTTTGACAGTTACTTCATCTCTCTATGCCTGAGTTTCTCCATTTGTAAACTGGGGATAATAACAATACTTATCTTACAAGACTGTTAATATTTGTGAAGTTTTTAGGAAAGTGGTAACTATTATATACATATTTGTTCAATGGAATAAATCTCACAAATACAATGGTGAGTGAAAGTCAACTTTTAGAAGACTACAAACAGTATGATGCCATGTATAGAAAGTATAAAACTGCACATAGCAATGATGTATATTACTATTTAAAAACATAGAAATGCTGTGAATAAAAGCAGGGGTAGAATAACACACACCAAATTACAGCTGGTGGCGCTGGAGCAGGAGGCGACTTGGAGGAAACACGGGGGAGGTTTAATGGCACTAGCGATACCAGATCTTATAAGGTGTGAGAGTTCTTGGTATTCATTCCATTATTCTTCGAAACTTTTTACATGCCACAGATGTGCAATAACAAATAAATAATTTTTTTTAAAATAAAGGATAAGCAGTGGAAGAAAAGCAGTAAGATGTATACGTCCAAAATAATTACACAAAAGCACATGGAAAAGTTATCCAGCTGTAGTATAAAAGAGGGGAAAAGCATGACTAACAGAAAACACAAAACACAATATCTAGAATAATAGAAAGAATAGTAATGGCCACAAAAAGAGATTTTCAGAATGAGTAAAAAACAAAATCTAACCATACCAATTTTAAAAAGACAGGAAACTCATACAGGAAGATTGAAAATAAAGGGATAAATAGAGCTCTACCAGGCAAATTCTAACAAAAATAAGGAAATACATTCATACAAAATAGAAGTCCAAGTTAAAAGTGTTCACAGAAAAAAGGGATATTTGGTAATGATAAAAAGAACAACACACCAAATATGTCCTAAACCATTATGTACTAAGAAACATAGCTTCCAAATATATAATGCAAAGAGTTTTAGAAATGTAAGCAGAAAATGTCTAATCAACAGTCATGGGAAAGCTGGACAATGAACAAAAAAGAGCAAAGAAGAATTGATGCCTTTGAATTATGGTGCTGGCAAAGAATATGGAACAAAACATGGACTGCCAGAACAAACAAATCTGTCTTGGAAGAAATACAGCCAGAATGCTCCTTAGAAGTGTGGATGGCAAGACTTCGTCTCTTTAGACTTGTTATTAGGAGGGACCAGTCCCTGGAAAATAACATCATACTTGGTAAAGCAGAGGGTCAGTGAAAAAGAGGAGGACCTTCAACGAGATGGACTGACACAGTGGCTGCAACAATGGGTTCAAACATATTAACAATTATGAGGACGGTGCAGGACCAGGCAGTGTTTC